TGAAAGCCCAGCGTCATCCGTTGCCAGGTGCAGAGTTCTGACTCTCAGGTACGGTGCCTGCCGTGGGGACTGCTGATTACAAAGTGAATCCTGCCAGGGCGGCCACATGACAGTCCCGGGGAGGGGGACACTGTGCAGTACTTGGTGACCCTGTCTCTCTGCCTCTCTCTCCCTTTTAAAAAATGTTTTATTGATTTTTAGAGAGAGAAGACGAAGAGGGAGAGATAGAAACATCGCTGAGAGATGCCCTCTACTGGGGATCGAGCCTGCAACCCGGGCATGTGCCCTGACTGGGAACCAAACCAGTGACCCTTTGGTTCCCGAGTCGACACTCAACCACTGAGCTACACCAGCTGGGCCCTGCCTCTCTTTTTGTAGCTCAGTCTCTCTTTACAGATGTCCAAGGATACCTAGAACCTTTCACAGTCTAAATCAGTGGTTCTCAACCTTCCTAATGCCGCGACCCTTAATACAGTTCCTCATGTTGTGGTGACCCCCAGTTTCATTGTTACAAATTGAACATAATTAAAGCATAGTGATTAATCACAAAAACAATATGTAATTATATATGTGTTTTCCGATGGTCTTAGGTGACCCCTGTGAAAGGGTCGTTCGACCCCCAAAGGGGTCACGACCCACAGGTTGAGAACCGCTGGTCTAACTATTCTTCAATTAAAACAAGCACCGTTTTGATTTATGCTTCACTCTTCAGAGACAGAACAGCACGGCGCCTGTGCCAGTTACAGATCGGAATTGGCCCGTGGGTACAGGCTTGGCGCCTCTGGCTGCGCTTTCCCTATGAAAATGCGAGATTTGGAGACTCAAAGAGATTCACTTCATTGCTGTGTTTCTTGGTGTCACGATGTCCAATTCTTGGCAGGGGCAGCAAATTTGTTGTTTGGTAAACAAAACCCGGCATCGGCCTTATACACAGCACACAGCTCTCTCAGTGAAAATGAAGCACAAATTGCTTTCCAGAACCTTCCTAGAGAATGGCAAATTATGGCCCAGGCCCATGGAATGCTGATTTGAGACGCTGCTAATAACTGCCTTTCTTACCCACAAAACAATCACCTCCCGCACTGGGCCGGGCCCCGGCTCGCGGTCAGGATGTCTCCGTACACAGCGTCAGTGGCGTTGATGTCATTCCTTCTCTTCCAGGCTCTCGGGGGGTTGCAGCCTTGGCATTTGTCTTTTCCCAGAGCCAAGCCCAGGGAGGCATAGGGCAGGTGCTCAGAAACGGCGGCGACGGCTGGACCAGAGAGGATGTGGCCCCAGGCCGGAGTGTGCCGAGGACTCGATATGGGCCCCTTCAGATGCGCTCTTCACCCCACTCGAGCGCTCACATCACGGGTCCCCTTGCCATCTGGCCTCTGTTGGGTTTGGCAATGGGAAGCACTCACTGGGATCAGAGGAGGGAGGCGAGTGGGGTCTGGGGAGTACTTATCCACCTGCCAGGTGTCTTCAGGGTGGCTGCCTCCCTTTACAGAAGTCGCCAGCTCCTGTCACAGTCCCTTTCCTGCACTGCCCTCCCCCCTCCTTCTTCCTGCGCTGGTTCCTTTAAGCGTCACCTTGAAAACCGTCCCTGTGTTAACCTCTCCTCAGTCACCCTGCTTGCCTGTGCCTCTGCTTCCTGCCAAGACCCCCCTGCTACAGAAGTGGAGGTAGCAGCGAGTCTTCGCTGCACACTCACACTCACGGAGCAATGCATGCAGATTTTAGAGGGCTCACAGATGATGTACTTAAAAAAAAAAAATCACCGACTTCCCAGTTCATTCTTCCAATTAGCACAGCTGGCCAGCCTCAGAGGAAATCTCTTTATCCCCCGAAAAGCAGAATGAGTCCCTACTTCCTCTCTGGGCTCCAGAGCCAGCTCCTCTCGGTCCCTGCTCAGCCCACACCTCCTCCTGCAGGCTGCCCTGTGCTTGCTGCCTGGGAGCTTCCTAACTCCTCATTCCTGCGGGCAGCTCTCCCGCTGAGAAATACTCGCCACTGCCGAGCCCAGCACCTCCCTGGCCAGTTTCAGGCACAGAGAAGTTGTTTTGTCTGAGAACAAGTTCTGGCATCAGCCACAGTGCAGCAGGCTGGGGCCTGAGCCGATTAATCAGACGACCTGAGTAAGACGTTTCCCCTCCCCTAAGGACACCGGGAGGCTGGAAGCTCTGTGGCTGGTGGGGAGTCAGCTGGAGCCCAGGTGAAGCCTGGGCATCTCTGGAGAGCTGGGGAACCCATGCGGCATCCCTGGCTGGACGTCAGACTCCTGGAGGAGGCCTTCAGGCTAGGCTTGCTCAGGGTGAGGCAGTTGGGAGGCGGGGGGTAGCATCTGAACATCTGGCTTTGAATCTCAGATGTTCTTTCTGGTTGTCAGAGCTCTGGCAAGTCGCTACAGTTTCTTCTTCTTTAAAATGGGGTTAATAATGAAGGTCAGTGTAAGAGTCATATATATAAAAACCTAATATGCAGTGTCCCCTCAGGAGTTTGACCGACCTGGAGTTCAATCGCTTGCTATGATGTGCGCTGACCACCAGGGGGTGGCACGGAATGAAGGAAGGGCCCTGCGGGCAGCCAGCAGCCACTAAGGACCCATGCACAAATTTGTGCACTGGGCCTCTAGTGAAATATAAATGTGCTCTCAAGAAATCAGGCGGACATCTATGCACTGCCCTCTCCCCAGGAGCAGGTGCACAGGGAGTAGGTCAGGCTGGGAAGATACAAAAGGGGGCTTGGCCGATTGAGGTAGGGTGGGCCAGGCTGGGGCTGTTCACCCAGCCTTGACCAGCCTCTGCCTTGGTTTCCCTGCTTATGGAGAATGGATCGAATCCTGGCACTTTTCACTGACTGTGTGCCCTCAGAAAGTTACATGAGCTTTCTGTGCCTCGGTTTCCTTATCTGTGAAATGGGGATAATAAATGTATCTCACAGAGGTGTGGTGAGTGTTCGATGAGTTAGTGAGCATTTAACTCTTAGAACTACTCCGGGGAGTGCGCAACCAACACTGGGCACCCTGTGCATCCAGAGCCTGTGGAAGGCTTGTGTGTGCCCCTCTGGTTCAGTACACTACGGGCTTTTGTGATGGCGAGCTGGGAAATGGCATTCACTTTCTTCCATGTGCATTATAAGATTTGCCTCCCACGGGACTCATATTACCTGGCTGTGTGGATGCCGGGTGAGGCCAGGGTGGGTCTGAGTGGTCTGGCACCCAGGACTCTGCCTGGAGCCCCTAGAAAGAAGTCCTGGAGGCTCCCTGCAAAA